ACTTATTGATCGACATTCAGCACTACAAACGTCGCATAAGGAAGATTCCGACCGCATTCCATTCACTCTCACGTTTCACCCTCACAACCACTCAGTTAAATCCATCATTCTTAAAAACTTTAAATTACTTCAAAACGATCCAGAGACAAGCACTATCTTTTCGCAGCCTCCGCTCATTTCATTCAAACGCGACAAAAACATAGGCAATTTTTTGGTCAGAAGTTCTTTTCAGACTAATGACCAACCAGGCACTTTTAAATGCGCTCGTGCACGATGCAAAACGTGTCCTTTCATTCACAACACTGAGAAAATATCGGGACCCAAACGATCCATTAAGATCACCGATCACTTCACGTGCACCTCCGCCAATGTAATCTATTGCATAACTTGCACTTATTGCAAAAAGATTTACATCGGCGAAACAGGCAGAAGACTAGGTGACCGATTCCGAGAACACCTTCGCGACGTGGAGAGGAATGACAAGGACACATCGAAACCAGTCGCTAGACATTTTAATTTACCTAACCATTCTAAGCAACACATGGCAATCTGCGGTCTTTCCTTACACTTAGGTAGCACGGAAAGCCGGAAAACTCTTGAACAAAAGCTCATCTTTCAAACCGGCAGTCTAAATCCCACAGGTATCAACGAACGCTTTTCATTCCACTAATTTATTCGTGTTTTTCTCGTTGCCATGTTCCCACCAATCACGTAGCTCCTTTTTCTGCCTTTAAAAGCACACACAACCCACAATTCCCCTATTCGCTCCGACGAAGGGCTAACGCTCGAAACGTCAGCTTTTATAATCGTAACGGTGGCCAATTTACCATTTCAACTTTGTTGATATATTCAAATTATTTCGTTACCCCCACCGACGCAGGCCCAAACAGTTTTTTTAGAAACTATCGGCCTTTATTCATTTTAAAAACAAATATTTATTTAGATGGGCATAACCATTTTATTTTTATCTGCTCGGCTCTCTCTCCCAGTAAGACCCGTTGTCAAGATCTCTTCAAGTTCAGGAAACGAAACTTTTCCCATTGGTGCCGATATAAGGTTGACTTGTAAAGCGGAACAAAGAACGTTAGATAAACAATATGTGGACAGATGGGTTAGTTATATCGAGTGGTACGATCTACAGGGAAGAAGCATTGGACCTAGGTGTCAGTGGCTTCAAACGCACCTTGAAGAAAACTACACCTGTTCATTGGTGCTTAAAAATCTGACGGCTGACAAATTTGGAAGTTACATTTGTCAAGCCGGCAATGGATTCCCCTCGCATTGCACAAGAGAATCATTTAAAATTACGATCCTAGGTAAGAAACTTATCATACCTCTTATTTACGTTATGTAAATATAGATACTGTGCATTGAGTTTTGATACCATGCAGACCGAATAATTAGCATCTTAAAAACTTCCCAAATGCTTAGATAGGCAATTCCAAAATACAGTAGATAACACTCATCGCTAAGGGAAAGTTCGAAAAGTTCTCTTATTCAACGGTTGGCACGAAATACAAGATTCACAGGACGAAATTCTGCACTTAGAAAACGAATAACGAATCAGTTATATGCTTTTGTAATGCGTGGGTCTATTACTGCAAAACTAAACTTTGAATATAAATCAGGAACATTGGTTACCGTTATGCATATCTAACTACTTCACATAAACAATTGGCTCTCATCGGCACAAACGAATTCGAAGCGAGTCTGTAAGAAAAATTGATGATAACTGATACGTTCTCTAAAGTTTTCTCATGAGAAAAAAATTAACCAGTAGTAATGAATGGAAAAAATGCAGGCACATCTACCCCGGTAAGGGACAATATCCCTCAAAATGGTTCTCTCCGAATACGGGAATATAACCATAAGGGGGTAGCATACAAGGTTTTGTAACGATTGATCTCTGCGTTGCAAAAGAAATGTAATAACTGTAATATTTTCTTTTCGTTCGATTTCGATCAGCTCCACACCAAATTATCTCTAATAACAACAAAGAATTTTTAATCTAATGATGTTATTTTGATCTTTTCCCCTCAGGGGCTGCGCAAAAGTTAATGAGAGTTCCACGGGACCAAAGTGCTGATATAGGGGCCAATGTAACTTTCAACTGAACTGCCACCGGTCTTCCTAATCCAAGCATCTCGTGGATCAAGAATAATGATTCATTTGCCTTACAGTCCAACCCAAGGGTAAAGCTCATTAACTACCCTCTGGACGAAGAAAGCATACAAAGCCAGCTGTTTATTACAGGAGTGAATAAGGAAGATTTTGGTGAATATCAATGTGAGGCAAAAAACATCCTTGGAAAAAAATTGTCCTTGCCAGCCTTCTTTAGCCCGAAAGGTGAGACATGCAGCTGCCTCCTTCACACAAGTAGGCCTCATATACTCAGTATAGCTCATTAATGTACCAAGACAAAATAATTCACAGTCTCTTTTAATTGTATATTCTTGTCAGAATTTATAGCTATCATTTTAGTTTCGCCCGGTTCATGCACGTTTTCAGACTTCCTTTCATTAAGATTCCCTTACGTTAAGTATTCTTCCAGTCAGTTCTTTCGAATTTTACACAAGCTGGCCCTGACATCCCAAAGGAAGACCGAAAATGAAACAGCCCACGGCGACACGTGCATAAAGGCTTCAATGTTCATTTTCAGATGCTCAAATGCCTGAGATTGTTGAAGGTCCAAAGAATCAAAGTGTCTCGATCAGTTCCAATGCTATTTTCAACTGCACTGCAAAGGGTTTTCCGAGGCCAGCCATCCACTGGGTAAAGGACAACACTTCACACGTCTCACAATCTAACCCCAGAGCAAGAGTCATTCAAGATAACCGAACGATTCGCAGCCAGCTATTAATTAAAGGGGTAGAGATGGAAGATTATGGAAAATACCAGTGCATTGCAAAAAATAGCATCGGAAGAGACCAATCAGGAGTGGCTGTATTGAAGATAGGTTAGATGTTATTTATGAATGATTCTCGAAATTTTTTTTCTTTTTTTTATAACTCATCCACAGCAAAATTTTTCGCGCTTTCACTTAACTATAAAAGTTTTCAATCCTTCTGTTAATGGTTAGAATAATTATCTTTGCTCCGCCAGATTCCAAAAATGAAGAAGACTCAGCATTTCCTATTGTAAAAATCGCTGTATTCTGTGCTTTGGCAGCTGCACTTATCTGTTTACTCATCGTGCTTGTGAGGAATCAACTCAGAAATCGCGGTGAAGAGGTATAGGATAAGCGACTTCGTAAATACTGGCGTACATATGAACACTGTGGGGATTAGGGTCAACGTTTTCACTCCTTTCAGGATATCGATTAACTGTCGTTGTCACATCTTCACAAACGGCGTTTGATCTCTTCAGTCCATCTTGAATGGGAAAGAGGGTTTTCTAACAACTTGCGAGGCATTTTGACACTCGTGGCACCTCGTCTTACAATTACAAAGACTGACAAGGTGCGAACACCTTGCCCACTATGAAAGCTAGTACCCGCTTAGTCTATTCCAGTGACTTATTGGACTCCAGTAAAAGCGAGGTTATGTGAGGAAGATTTCCGTCAGTTTTAAATGTGTTCTTAAATTCTATAAAAATAACAACTTTATGGTTTTATCGTTTTTGTAAGCTATACGTGATGTAGAGGCGAAGGAAAACTTCCATTTCTGTCTGTACTTTTACTCTTCCAAATTCTTCTTTCGTCCTCCTTGAATCAGTAAATACCCGCAGCAGCAGTATGCTAATATTTGAGTTTATTGTTGAGCTTATATGGCCCACTTTCATTGGGCTTATGAAGCAATGCAATCATATTTCCTTGCTTAGATACTTTAAAATCGTCAAATTTGAGGATTATCGTGGTAAAACAAAATGTTGGGTGTGATCTTAGCCTAAATTTATGCTTCAGTCTCGAACAAATGTTAATTATTCTAAATAGAAATAACAAAAATGACTCAGAGTAAAAGAGAAATTCAGTTCAACCCGCTCAAATGCAGTTACATGAAGGAACCACGAACAAATTACATATGATGATGATAAAACTAAACACGCTTCTTGAATATATATCAAAAGTGTATTTTCTCTGCAATGAAATACAGGGACGAAAAAGTGCGACCAAGGTGCTTTTGGAAAAAGACAAATACTTGATAAACGGAATAAAGAGACTTGAATCACCTAATCCCAAATTAATCACAAAATCTGAGCATAGGCCACTGGTGTGTACATTTGAAGATGGATCAGGGGAAACAGAGCCTCCAGACGGAAGTGGGCAGCACCATTCGATACAAGATATAGAAGAGAGAGTTCAGGAGAGATTAGATTGGGGTGAGGATACTACAGGTGGCGACAATGTCATTGTTGATGAAGGCGTTGACCAAGGGAGCGACGAACAAGGGGATCGGAAAGAGATCTTTCAAGAAACCGCGGAAGAACGTGACAACATCGAAAATCTCGAAGTGTTGGACGAAATACTCGGTGAAGGTGAATTTGGGATCGTTTACAAAGGTCGATATTGTGGAAAAGATGGAAATGTCACCGATGTGGCGGTGAAAAAGCTAAAAGGTACACAAAATAGATCAGAGAGATGCTTCCCTTAATGAAAATGTCAACTCGTTAATTCGTAAATACATTGGTTTATCTCTATATAACTTCTCTATGAGCTATCTTACTGGCCAATCCATGCGTTTGTAGCCTAACACGTTATAACCAGCTGCCAATGACTTCTAATTTAGAGGTTTAATTTTTCCTTCATTTTCTTTCGGTGGAAAACGTCCAGAAATTCTACTATTGTCTCTTCTGAGCAATTTTTACAGCCTTAAAACACGCTCCATTTTGCATATCATTATTTTGTTACCACAGCCACATGCAAAGAGCGAACTAAATAAAATGATGCTATTTAAGAGATCCTCTGTATGTCCTTTATGTAATTATAGACCCTAATGCCAGCGCCAAAAAAGCCCTGCTTAATGAGATAAGGACCTTAAAGCATGCTGGGAAACATCCAAATATTGTCACTTTAGTTGGCACACGGATTGAGAGAGGTAAGACAGTGTTCGACAACACAACTTGATTAGTGGTAGGCATGTAGAGTTTGAAATCGTACGGTCCATCGGGGAAGGCTTCAGTCGTTTGTAAGGTCAGTTAGAACAGTATTGATCTTCTAATGAAAGCAACTACTTCCCCAAACACTCATCAAAAATCTCGTTTCCAAGCAAAATGCTTAAAAATCATTTAGAATATTTGGTTCTTGGCCCTTTGGATCCAACTTGCCAATTCAACACCAACCAAGCTTGTCTGTACCAACTCATAATTGTTTGCTGTACTCTTCCTAGGAAGTATTCTCGTTGTCACTGAATTGATTCGTGGTGACAGCCTGGAAAATCTTTTGAAGGCCAAGAATACGCCTAAGGAATGGAACCAATATCATAACGTCTGCTGTAAGTTGAATGACCGGCAGCTGGTTACAATTGCATTTCAGATCGCCACAGGAATGCAACATTTAGAAGAAAGAAAGGTAAGACCAACTGCTTGTGTTTAGAGACGTCAAAAAAAAAAATCTATATTTTACAATTATTCGCCGAAGGTAAGGTGAATATCGTCGAATAATCCCCGAGACGAAGTCAAGGGGATTATTCGACAATATTCACCGAGACTGAGGTGAATAATTGTTTTAGTATAATTTCAGAGCTGAACAACAGAGAAATTTCTAAAATCATAACATTTTAGTAACATTTATTAACATTTTAGTTTAACACTTTATATAAACCTCGCGGAGCGGTTTATATAACGTGTTATAAGGAACCGCTCGACCAATCAGATTCCTGGAAACTCTTTGTTCAGCTCTGAAATTATACTAAATATATATTATATATATACATATATATATATATATATATATATATATATATATATATGAAAAAATAAACACGGGCAGAAAGAAGTATCGACACTTTCTATGAATGAAAAACTTTATTTAAGTGTCTATGTTTTTAGCCATAAGCTAATGGGGGACACTAAGAAAATTTAAAAGTCAAATGCATTTACATATGTAGATGATAGTTATTTACAGTAGATAATTAAAAAGATTATAAAGTTATTTAGTTAAGTTTTAAATTTTAACGAGAGTTGAAAGTTCGACTTTTCTTATGTTCTTTTTGAACGAATTTAGAGTTTCTATCGTTCTTAGGTGTCTTGGTAACCTCGACCAGATGAGAGGTCCCATATATTTGATAAAATTCTTACCAAATCTTACAGTTTCGAATCTTGGCAGATCGAAGTCACTGTTCCGTAAATTATATTGAGTGTTCTTTATATTAAATAAGTCAGAAATATTCTCAGGTACGAGACTGTGCTTAACTTTAAACATCAAAGTGGCAATGTCTTGTAGGCGCCGATTGTTCAACGTCGGTAATTTGGCGCGACTTAGCAGTTTTTAATAGGAACCTGATCTAGTTTTGTACACCGCCCTAAGTTCTCGCTCCTGAATCCGCTCAAGCTTTCTCCGATCCGATGCATTACAAAAGTGTCATACTAGATGACAGTAGGTTAGGTGGGGCAGAATTGAAGACCTGTAAAGTGATAGTTTAGCATTACTGGGTATCAAATTGCGTAGCCGCACTAGGACCCCTACTCTTTGACTGGCCTTAGAGCATAGATCACTGATATGACTAGCAAAACTCAAATTTAATCGATTTGAACTCCTAAAAGCCGTATTTCCCCCATTCTCTTAATAGTATGACGATCAACAGAAAGATTTTGATATTCGTTGTCTTTGTCAACATTTCTCGAGTTGATCGTTAATAGCTGGAACTTTTACTGGATTGGTTGAGAGATAGTTGTTCTTGTACCAGGATAGAGCTTTCTCTCCATGTATCTTAATACTTTGCGCGACAACGTCACGCTTCTTCCCTCGTGACATACATCTGATGGTCGCCGGCATACATGCTCAAAGTAGCATTATTTATATGAAAGGACATATCATTTTGGAACAAATTCCACAGAAGGGGGCCCAAGGACGAGCCTTGCGGCCAGCCAAGCACCATCCTTTTCCAGTCACTTGTCACTCCTTTTATTTTCACTCTATTGAGCCTATTGTCAAAGTATGATCTAAGAAGGTTGAGAGAATTTTGTCCAATGCCATAGGCCTCGAATTTCTTTACGATTAGAGAATGGCTAAGAAAGTCAAAGGCTTTACTCAAGTCAGTAGACAGTATGTACACCAGTTCCTTTCTGTCAACAGATGATTTCCAGTCTTCCACGAGTCTAAGTAGAGTGGTCTGACAGCTATGATGTCTTCTATAAGCTGTCATTCTCTGATAGAGAGTTCGATCATAGTGCAAGGTGATTTGCTTACTGAGCATATGCTCCAATGTCTTATTTACGGTAACAAGGGACGTTATGGGACGATAGTTCTTCGCCAGTTGTTTGTCACCTTTTTTTAAACACTGGCGTCCACTCTCCCATTTTCCACGCACAAGGCCATCGCCCCAGCTCGATACAGCTGTTGTAGAGAGTCATTAGCGATGGGGCAATTCCACAGGCCACGTTCTTAAGGAGTTTAGACGGTGCTCCGGGGTCCCACCCACAGGACTTATTGGGGTTGATATTTTCAAGCGCCTTTTGCACTTGATCCTTGCCGACGCGACTGAACTCGAAGTGCGTTCCTAGGTATGCTTCTCTTAGAGCTTTAACACTGCTTTGGTTGTCATGGTTCTCTTCTGTGATGCAAATAGCATTGTCTCCTACAATGCTAACAGCATCTGTGGTGAAATAGTTCACTAATTGGTCAGCTACCTCGCATTGATCTTTTACAATGATACCCTCTTTTGTATTTAAACTGATCAAGGTGGATTCCTTAGTTTTGCGATTAATAAATGGCCTAAAGGCGTTGTAAAACTCCCTTGGCTTGGATTTCAGCTCCTCTGATTTGGCGAACCAGTATTCGATGATAGCCTTCCTCCGTTCGCGTGTGCAAATATTCCTGTACTTTCTTTTAAGTTCCATGTTGTCTGGCGTTCGGTTCTTCGCAAACAGTATGGCGTGTTTCCACTTGTTCCTTATCGCCTTTTTCCAAGTTAGGGTCATGTAGGGTACGTCCTTTTCACGCACACGTGTTATTTTGATAGGGGCGTGTGCGTTCACTGTGCACTCAAAGAGGGCGGTCCAATACTCGTACTTATCATCTACATCAGTGAATATTTAACCCACATGCCACGGTGCTTCCAGAAGTTCGTGGTTGAAATGTTGAAAATCAGTGTTTCTCGTCTGCCTGTAGGTAGTTACCTTCGTTCTGTGCTTATGAACTTTCTCTTTCATTTCTCCGTATACCATACAGTGATCACTTAGTCCTGGATCGTACGTTCCACTTTCTACAAAAAGTTCTGGGGTATTTGTGAGCAGAACATCGAGAAGCGTTTGTGAGTGAATTGATATTCTTGTAGGTTTTGTTATCAAGCACTACAAGTTGTTAATTTCTGGAAGATCAATTAGAATCTTTCCTTCAGCACTGTCAGGTCGTAACCTGTCCATGTTTAAATCACCAACAATGACGATTGTTTGTTATTGAAAACATAGCCACTGACAGAAGTCGTTGATTTCTTCCTCTACTTTTTGAAGGTATTTGTCCTCGGATGGGATTTTTCTGCCTTTCCTAGACGGTCTAGGCGGCCTATAGATAGCAAGTAATGCTATATCAGTTCTCCCTATCCTGGATTCGACACCGACAGCTTAAAGCGTTTTGTATGCTCTCGGTAGTGTTTTTTCTTTGATGGAATTACAGAGGAGAAATAGACAATGAGTCCTCCGCCACCTTTTACTCTGTCTTTCCGATATATGTGGTATCTGTTTAGGGTAAATTGGCTATTAGGATACGAACTATTGATCTTAGTCTCGGATATAACCAGGATGTGAGCTTTTAAAACATCATTCAGCTCTTTGAGCTCTTCAAATTTATTCTGGATGCTGTTTACTGTTTACTGAAACGTAATTTTCATATCCGAGATTTTTGCAATATAATAGATTTTGAACGTTATTTTCAAACGCTGTGTACTTTTTTTGGGCCAACGCATAGCGGAAAGTACATTTTTAACCATTCGAAGTTGACCGGCTGAGATCAAAATTGGCGGCCATCTTGGCGCGACCAAAACAGCCCTGTGACGTCACTGGTTGTGTACTTCTGTGAAAGAAGGGTAAAAGCATCATAGTTCGTAGAGGGGACAATGTATATAATCCCACAGCACATACTGAACAAACAGCTTCAATACTGAAAGCTGGCAAAGCAGAAGATTTGCATGTTGCAGGGAGTCAAAAACTAATTTCATCTTTAAACCGAGGTGGACTTTGGGTTATTTCTAAACAAGCTCAAACAATTTTTAAGAGAATAGAACATAATTTTAGGATTCTGACCTCAGGAAGTCTCCAGCTGAAGATTGACAATG